GGAATTTCAGTTGATCCACAGAAAGTTGAAACGGTAGTAAACTGGCCTAGACCAACAAATGTGACAGAAGTCCGAAGCTTTCTGGGTTTGGTTGGATATTATAGAAGATTTGTCAAAGATTTCTCCAAAACTGCCTTACCGTTGACTCAGTTAACTCAGAAGGGGATATCATTTGACTGGACTGACCAAAGGGAATCAGTATTTCAAGAGTTGAAAACTCGACTTGTAACTGCACCGATTCTTACCCTACTTTCAGGTACGGATGGTTTTATTGTATTTAGTGATGCTTCTCATAAGGGTTTGGGATGTGTTTTAATGCAAAATGGGAGAGTTATTGCTTATGCTTCCCGACAACTGAGACCGCACGAAAAGAATTACCCAACCCATGACTTGGAACTTGACGCAGTAGTATTTGCATTGAAAATCTAGCGTCACTATCTGTATGGGGCGACATGTGAGGTGTATACAGATCACAAGAGTCTAAAATACTTCTTCACACAGAAAGAACTGAACATGAGACAACGGAAATGGCTAGAACTGATTAAAGACTATGACCTACAGATTTTGTACCATCCGGGAAAAGCCAACACCGTTGCCGATGCACTGAACGGGAAATCGATTGAAAATTTAGCCTGTTTGCTCACCGGGCAGAAAGAATTGCTTTGTGACCTTGAAAAATCTGAAATTGAAATTGTTTTACGAGAACAAGGTGGAACAATAACTGCTATTTCTGCTCACCGGCACTGATTGAAGAAATTAAAGAGAAACAAAAATCAGATGACTTCTTGAAGAAGATCATCGAAGAAAGGGAAACTAAACCAAGATCGGGTTTCAAATTTGAAAATAATGTACTGAAATTTCAAGAAAAACTGTGTGTACAGAATGACACTGAACTGAAAAGAAGAGTTCTGCAAGAAGGCCACAATTCAAAACTGTCTATCCATCCAGGGAACACGAAAATGTACCAAGATTTGAAATTGAATTTCTGGTGGCCGGGAATGAAGAAAGAAATTGCTGATTTTGTATCGAAATGTCTTCATTGCCAACAAGTTAAAGCCGAACATCAACGACCCGCAGGCTTATTGCAGCCCTTACCCATACCAGAGTGGAAATGGGAACATATCACCATGGATTTTATTGTGGGATTGCCTTGCTCCAATAAAGGTATGGACTCAATTTGGGTTATTGTTGATAGATTGACTAAATCTGCTCACTTCTTACCTGTTAAGACAATTTATAATGCGGACAAATTGGCTATACTCTATATTGATGAAATTGTTAGACTGCATGGAGTGCCTGTGTCCATTGTTTCTGACAGGGATTTGAAGTTTACATCGAGATTTTGGCAAAGCTTACAGACTGCATTGGGTACTAAATTGAGACTGAGTAGTGCTTACCATCCTCAGACAGATGGCCAGTCAGAAAGGACCATCCAGACTCTGTAGGATTTACTGAGAATGTGTCCTTGATTTTCAGGGAAACTGGGAAAGCCATTTGCCTTTAGCTGAATTCGTCTACAATAACAGCTTTCATTCGAGCATTGGTATGGCGCCTTTTGAGGCATTGTATGGCAGAAAATGTAGGTCTCCGATTTGCTGGGCAGAAGTTAGAGATGGGCTTTGCTTGGGCCCGAGATTGTATATGAAACGACTGAGAAAGTGAAACTGATATAACAGAGACTGAAAGCTGCACAGAGCAGACATAAAAGTTATGTAGATGTCAGAAGACGGGACAGAGAATATGAAGTGGGTGATCACGTTTTTGTGAAAGTGACACCGATGAAAGGCCAGACTCGTTTTGGAGTCAAAGGCAAGTTAGCGCCAAGATATGTCGGACCGTATGAGATTATTGAGAAAATCAATCCGGTGGCGTATCAAGTTGCGCTTCCTCTTGAAATAGAGCAGATGCACAACGTCTTCCACATTTCTATGTTGAGGGATTACCTCCGGGATCCTTTCCATGTGATAGAGCCTACTCGTGTAGTGCTGAGTGATGACTACACTTACGAGGAACGGCCTATTCAGATTGTAAACAGATGGATCAAGAAGTTGAGAAACAAAGAGATCCCGTTAGTGAAAGTCGACTGGCAAAACCATGGTGGCGTGTATGCCACTTGGGAAAGGGAAGATGACATGGCTAAAAGATATCCTGAACTGTTTCCACTGAATCCTGTTTTCTTTCAGAACGAAGGTAACTCGAGTTCAGAGGACTAAACTCTATTTAAGGAGGGGAGACTGTAACAACCCTCACCACTGTTCACCGATAAACTACCGATTACTGCTAAACTGAGACTGATTATGAAAAGTAATTGAACTGATTAAAATACTAAACTGACCGACTGAAATCTGAAATTGATTGATTGACTGTATCTGTTTAAATGCATTATCTATCTGTTTGACTGTTTGATTATCTCTTTATGTTTTTATGTTTAGACTGCAAATTGAAGGCCTTATCGGCGGCCGAACCAGAAATTGATTAGTGTTTCATGATCAGTAGAATTTATGTGATTTTATGGCATATTTATCTTAAATGTGTTTTGGTATGACTAAATTAGTTGAAGTAAATCTAATTAAAGAGTTAGGCTTATCTACAACTTTGCCATTGTGAGTGGGCCACTTCATGAACTATATTTGAGCCTTATTATACACGTAGGAAAACATTTCATCAGCTCATCTCCCTTGCCTTAGCCGACCAAGAGAGAGAGAGGGAGAGGAATTGAATTGTCCTTGTTGATTTGTTTAGAAACTTGAAGGAATTGAAGGTTGATTTCAAAATTGTGCTTCCATTCTTGAACTACGAGACCTAAGGTAGTGTAACTACCCTCTTGTTTGTAAATTCAATTGATTATTGCATGGTTTTAGAGCAAGTTGAAGTCTAGAGCCAAGTTATGGCTCTTAATTGTTGAATTATAGCTTAATTCATGCATGCATGTTTGTATTGTTGCATTTTAAGTTGTTTTCATGGCAAAATGTTACATACATGTTCATATTATGTTTAAGTCCATGATTTCATCTTGTTTTGAAAAGAATTGGCTCTTTAGAGCAAGTGTTTAAAGCTTGAAAATGATTTAAGTTCATGCATGTTGCATGTTCATCTTGTTCATGAAAATTGGTTTGAAATTGGATTTATTTGAACTACCTTTGGGCTTTGATTTTTACAATTGAGTTTTGAATCATGTTAAGCTATGAGTTTTGAGGAGTTTTTTGGAAAATTAGCCCAAGGGGATTGGTTTTGATACATTTGAACTCGATTTTGAGCTTGAGGTTCGAATCTGGGAATTCCAGATTTTGAACTCACGCTCGAGCGGGGTGACTGGCGCTCGAGCGTGGAAATCGTGCTCCCAGCATTTTGTTCTGTTTTTGAGTCAGCTCGAGCGGGGTAATTTATGCTCGAGCGGGACCTTGTGTTTACGCTCGAGCGGGTGTCGAGCGCCCAATCGAGCGTGAATGTCACCTATCCAGCACTTTTGACTGTTTTGAAGTACGCTCGAGCGGTTTAGTCTGCGCTCGAGCGGAAACCTCTGTCTGCATGTCCGCTCGAGCGGATTAACCCACGCTCGAGCGGGACCCCTGTTTTCTGAAAATGCTTTTAAAGTGCATCTTTGCATCCTCATTGCATCCTAGGCATTCTTAGGCCTAGTTTAAGGCATCTTAATGAGGATATAGATGTAGAACCACACCGAGTCAAGATAGGGATTAAGTTATTATCTTTCCCAACTGTGTAGCTTAGTGTGTGTTCAATCTGTAAACTGTGTAGGGTTGGCGATTGGGGATGCGCTCTAGCCTAACTGTAGACCAAAACTCTGTGAGTAACAATTGTGTAAAGATATGTGCAAAAATGATTATCTTCTGAACAATTGAACTGTACTGTTTCTGAATCGATACTGTTAATAGAACGAATGTATGTCCTCTATTCTGAACTGTATTATGGCATCCTTAGTAACTACTGTTACTGACTGTTACTGTTACAGAGATCTCTGTCGGTTCCCTTGTTGGAACCACTACTGTTTACTGATTGATGGCCATCATTGACTGTTCGGTCTTTCTAGACCTACTGTTTACTGTACTGTTATGCTAATGGATGTACCACATATGACTGTACTAACTGAACGACTGAAATACTGATTTAATAAACTGTTTTCATTACTGTAAGGACATTCATTCTAAACCTCTTTACGCATTATGTTATTCACTGGGCTTTAGCTCACTGCTCATATATATATGTAGGTGTACAGGCACCAGACCGCGGCTAGTAGCGTCGGGGTAAGCTCCAGTTTTGTCAAGCCAACCACTGTGCCTCACTACGAGGTTCCGAGCCTGTCAAGCTATGGCTTAGGGGTGTTTTAATTTTCCCCGTCTGTCTCTGCACTGTATATATATATAAAGTCTTTTTAGCATGCAAACTGTCACAGCTCATTGGACATTGTTTATTTACTATATTGGCTTCCGCTAGGCCCCTGTACTCTGTTTTACTGTCTTACTGTTAAGCAGGCCTTCGGTAATCTCAGATTACTGGCCGGTTACGGTGCTAAACCCATAGGGGCGGGTTTGGATCGTGACAATAAGACAGAGACAAGCAATGTACACCAGAGAACAATGAACAAAATAATCCTCGCCCCTTCCAACATCCTCCCAGAAATGCACATGCTCCCCATTACCCACATTGACACAAACAATCTGATAAAATTAGACAAGAAATATGTAATTATCCACTGAGACCATTTGTTGTTGTTCTGGTGAATAGATACTCAATTTAAGAAACAACAGATTAGAAAGAAACATGTAGCTGCTTGATACACCCACCAAATCCTAAATACCATATTTTATACTTTTTATTGATATTATTGCCCGTACAGATGTGATGCATGAAGTTTCTATTATAGAATATAGATTTATACACACATATATATAGATTTCTACCAAAGAAATGGCATACAAATTAACAAACCAAAACAGTGAAAACACATATATATGTACATATATATATAGAAAAGAGGATACCTGGTGCGAAATGGACGGAGAATAGGGCTTCCGGTGGTGCCGCACCAGTGAAGCAAAATGAACAGAGAAGAGGGCTTCTGGTGGTGTGATTCGAACGGAGAGAGGGGGTTTCCGGTAGTGCTCGTGTGCATGCGAGAGGGTAGGGAAGAAATCAGTGAGAGGGTTTCACGAGTTCAGACCAGAGAGAGAGACGAGACTGGGTGAGAGTGAGAGAAAGTGTGCGAGAGAGGAGTGATTTGGGTAGATTGATTTGGGAAGACAAAACGACGTCGTTTTGTCCCCTTAAATTATAGGTGACGAATTTATATTTGTCTTTCAAATTTTTTGACAATGGTGACGAAATTTTTCGTCTCTAATATGGCGCCCAAATTTTCTACCAAAATTTCCAAGGGCGGGAATGTGTTTTGCAACGAAAAATAAAATTTAGAGACGAAAAAAAATTTCTTCACCTATTATTTTATTTATTTTAAACATTTGGTGGTGAAATTTTGTTTCGTCTTTAAAAATAGTACAATTGGAGACGAATCTTATTTTTATCACTAAAACATGTATATTTGGAGACGAAATATTTTTTCGTCATGTGTTTTTGTCACCATAGACCTTTTTTTGTTGTAGTGATTATGGTAGTGACCTTAGGCAAATAGGTGGGTGCTATGCAATAAGTACATGCACTGAACATGATCAATTTTGAGAACACCTATGAAATTATCACTGTCAGTTTAAAAGGTAGTTTAATTATAATGCACTTATTTTCCTTTGAGCTGAGAGGCTTGTATAAATTAAGTAACTATTCATTTAACTTTGCCGGTGACGCCGAACCAAAGGCTATACACGGACATGTTGGGTTATGTGAGTGGTAATTGATTTATATAGGTGTTTAATATGGAATCCACCATTCTTAAAGTGAGAAAGTATATTCAAGTAATTTTCCTATTAATGTTGGACCAAAAGAAAACTGGCCGATAATTTTTTTTTTTTTTTTCATAAAAAATATTTTATACATATATAAGTACTATTTTTGAAAAATGCTTTTGGGGTCCAATTAGAAGAATGAAAAATTTAGAATTTGGTTACATGAGTTAGGGCTTTTGATAGTGATAAATTTGTCCATAGCTAATAGCTCATGTGGAATATAATTTGGTGAAAGGAAATTTGTGATTAATTATAAGAAAGGGCCTCACTTGTAATTCTTTACTTTTAGGGGTTTAATTGTAATGTGTTGATGGACATTATTGCAATTAGTGGAAGTTCTATATTATCTGTTTAAAAGATAATTAATGAAAAATTAGATAAGTTGTATCCTGTATATTTAAGATAAAATATACATCTTTTGTTTTATCCCCACAACTAAAAGATAGAGATCCCTAAGGATCCCACCTACATGAAAACTCTATCATGTGTTGTGTATATATATCAGATGTATTTGATACAAAAATTGGCCACCAGAATTTTTAAAGTCTGTAGAAAATATATACACAAAAATAAATCAAAGAGGGTGCAAGGTGAATCACTTTGGAGGCGAGACACTTGGATCGCTTGGTGAGATATTATCAACAACACACTTGGAGAAGGTATTTTAGATTGTGTAATCAGGTAGTGTTTCTTTGAAAAAGTATTTTTCTGCAAACTTTCATCCTCTTGCAAGAGCTTGAAGAGCAAAGCAAGCCATGTTAGTCTATTACGTTTTCCAATTGCAATCTACAGTTTAACGACCTACTCATGGATAGATTCATTGAAGGTAACTAGAGAGTCAAAAGCTACTACTACTGGCTTAATTTACAGTTCAATAGTTTGTTTGATAAGAAATATGAATTTTGCCAAATTGTCATGAATATTTCACAAATATTAAAGGTAACTAGGTAGTCAATAGCTCTCTCTCTCTCTCTCTCAGATTTGGTAACAACGAGCACATGCCAGACCTATCAATTGGTGCAATCTTCATGTGAGTTTTTGTTTTTATTTTTTGTTTTGTGTGTGTAGATGTGAAATTGTAGATCAAAAGTGTTATTGCCTTTGAATCTCTGTTTGAAGGAGTTGGTGCCATCTTTAGATCCCTCTCTTTTTATTCTTTTCTTTTCTTTTTCTTTTTTTAATTTTTGTAAATCCGAAAGAGTAAATTGTAAATATTTTGTGGGTCTTTATCTAAAATATGCACTATCTATATCTATACTATTATTAGTCTCGCTACAAACCTCGAATGAGGTTTGCCGCGAGTGGCTCGATTGTCCCAAAACGACATCGTTTTGGGGCAAAATTTCAAAAAAAAAAATAAAATAAAATAAAAAATAAAGAGCAGTAGAACGAAATCGAATTTTTTTTTAAACATAGCCGGCCAGCCAAAAATATCTAGTTAGCCAAAAACTATATTCAACAGCAGTTTACAATTACATAGAACCATTCAACAAAAAAATCAAACAAGATTTTACAGATTTTACAGATCCACTTCCTCTTTCTCTTCTTCTTCTTCTTCTTCTTCTTCTTCTTCTTCTTCTTCTAATTTTTCAGATTTTACAAACCCACTCCCTTTTCTTCTTCTTCTTCTTCCTCTAATTTTTCAAATTTTATAAACTCACTCCTTCTTCCTTTTCTTCTTCTTCCTCTAATTTTTCAGATTTTAGTAAAGGTGGTTGATTTCAGTGGCTTCTTCTAATTTTTCAGATTTTACAAACCCACTCCCTTTTCTTCTTCTTCTTCTTCCTCTAATTTTTCAAATTTTATAAACTCACTCCTTCTTCCTTTTCTTTTTCTTCCTCTAATTTTTCAGATTTTAGTAAAGGTGGTTGATTTCAGTGAAGAAGAAGAAGAGGAGGAGGAGGAGGAGAGCTGAGATCGAGAGAGAAACAAAGAAAAAAGGGCTCATGGCAGTGGCGACTCGGCGACGATGGCACTGGGAGGGGTTGGAAAAGAACAGGTGAGGGTGGGGATGGTTGTTGTCGCTACGCCATCGTTGTCCATCTTTGTCTCTCTGATTTGAGAGCTAAGAGAGAAAAAAAAAACAAAAAAAGAGCAACAGAAAAATGAAGGGAAAAAAAATTCAAGTTCGAGGCATTTGAGCTTCGACAATTCGAGGCCCAAGCATTAACCTACTAGTATATATGTGACACTGGACTTGATGTCTACTATTATATATGAGAACGTTGGACTTGATGTCCAAACCTCTAAACCTTCTCCTCAGGTTCCTCAATCACCCGGCACAAATAATTAATACTCCAATTCTCTATCAATTATATTATCATGGAGCAATACATGACCGTACTCTCCGACTACCGAATAATCATCCATAATAATTGTACTAAAAACAAAACTTGAATTCCCTAAAGAGACTAATATTTTGGAACAAATAGAGTACATGAGAAAGACTATGATATACATGATGTCTATCATATACACCTTATAATTAAAAAAAATAAACATAATTTTATATTTTCTGAGTCATAACTTTAAAAGAAAAATCATAACCAAACATCACATCATAACGCATAATAAAAGATTTCATTAATCATAATTAAAATATTATTATAACTAAAAAAAATTAATATAATTAAGATGTATATGGTACGCAGCTGATGTCTATAGGACAATTTCCCTATATATATATATATATGATTTTAATTTCTTAAATTACTTCCACCTTTGATTGTGCTGGAGATCTGAAAGGGAAAATGTGATATGTTATAATTTTTTGTTTTTGTTTTTTTGGGGCTTTTTTTTTTCAAGATCTAAGGTCCCGTTTGTTTTCAGAGGTAGAATGGAGGGAATTGATAGTGAGGGGATTCATAGTGAGGGGAATAAGTAAAATTGTGTTTGTTTTGATGATAGTTGTTAGTGTAGGGTTTGTTAAATTATTTTTATATAAAATAAATATAAAATAATAAAACAAATAAAAAAATACAAAAACATTAAACATTAATGTTTTAAAAAAAATACCCAACATGTAAAAAATTTTAAAAAAATAAAAATAAAATAAAAAATTTTCAAAAAAAAAAAAACAAATAAAATAATGATTTTTACTTTAAAAAAATACAAAAAATTAAACATTAATGTTCAAAAAAAAAATGCCCAACATATAAAAAATAAAATAAAAAATAAATAAAAATAAAAAATTTCTAGTCCGCCGAACTATTTTTCTAATACCAAGTCTTGGAGGCCCATTCGAATCTCTTTGGGAAAGCCTATCCTAATTCGGAGCTCACTATTAATTCTCTCCCTATCTCTCAAAACAAACACAATATTAGTGGGTCCCCCCGCGAGAATGGTTCCCTATTACGATTTCTGTGTGTTATGTTTTCTTGTATTCTTTGTTTTGTAGTGGTGCAACGGAGCTTTGATCCTTGGAGTGTTCTACGGACGGTGGAGTTTTCAATCGATGGAGTCTTTGATCGTTGGAGTGGTCATTTAGCATTATTGGTATTTTTTTTTTTGTTCTTTGTTATTTTTAACTTTAAACGCAAGGATGATTTTTGAGGTTTCCACATTAATAGCTATGTGTATTTAGATAGATTGTTGGATTCTATTGTTAACTGTGTGCGCGCTTTTGTTTTTGGTTTTAATTTTTTTCTTCCAAGGTTTGACATTGGTGTTATGCTGTTTTGAGGTTTAAATATATAAATACAATATATTGAAATTCAATCTTATAAAGGTAAAGGGTAAGGGCTGGAGATGCTCCTGTTATTCCTTAGTGTAAGGTTGTTGTGAGTAAAAAATTTTGTTCATATTATGTTGTTATGTTAATTGTTGTTTCTCTGGTTTGGCTTTTTTTTAAATGTTTTAAATTTGTATTAGTTAGTAGAAATTTATCATACTCATGATGAGAAGTTAATGTTTACAGTTGTATATTGATATGTATAATAAATGTTCAATACTTGTGCGTATTGAATCCCGCACTAGATGAAATTAGATCGAAACTCCGTAGCTGAAATGGACTATTCAGGAACTAGGGATTTGCAAAACAAGGCACCGTCAGAGCTGGTCGGCTGGGGTTGGCTGGAAAACCCCTCCAGCTTGGGATTGAGTGATCGGAAAAGATGAAGGGCTCTCTCTAGGTGTAGAGAGAGGGAGAGAAAGAGTG